TCATATCATTAATTTGAATTAATTACCAAATACAATATGTAGCAAAAATTAATTTTACTTAGTGATGAATCAGCCTTAAAAGAGTAATTATCTAAGAAGATTAGCATTTCTATATTGATCTATTTTGCCACTCTATTAAATTACTCAGTAATTCTTATTTTGAGCCTGTGACTTTCTATTTATGTTGGGACTATCCATAAAAGCTTGCCGGACAGTGTACCTTTACCATCAACAACAGCATATTAGCATCACACTTTTCACCTCTATAGATCTCTCCCCACAAATGAGGTAAGTGACCCTCAAATGTGGAAGATATTGGCCCTTTAACAAGCTGAAATGTGTGCTTTCATCTTTCAAATCCTACTGCATTTTTCTTCCTGAGTAGCTGGTTTCACACTAATGAGAAACACTTTAAGATCATCTTATATCTCCCATTAAGGGTGAGTTATCTCAAGCAGTAAAGAAGCCTTCTGTTTTCTATGTGTTCTTTAGGTTTAAACCTCTTTGTCACTTAAAGCATTTGAGTTTTACACTCACAGCATATGCATCTGTATTTATAAAAACATTTTCAGCTCGTTTTCATTTTTGTTACAAATGGCCAGTACCTTTATTCACCAGTTAATGAACATTAGTCACCATTACCTGCTCAGAAAGAGAAGCGTTATGATGTTACGTGGTTTTAGTAAGAAACTCTCCAGGTTGGCTGATGCTCCAGAATTTTTGGACAAAACCATTTTAAAGATTCTTAACCCTAGTTTCTCAAATTTCTATTACTCTTGACAACTGTAATTCCTAAAGCTCACTGCAAAGTAGGCCACAGAAATGAAAAGAAAGGTTCGTCGTATCAGGATGTGTGAAAGGCTGGGTGGGGGGAAGGAAACTGTGTGGAACTAAAAATGTTTTGATTGATTTTTGATTTAGTTTATTAGAGTAAACAACAGTATAAACATTGCCAATTATAATAAGTTTCATTGTCACTAGAGAGGGATGTATCTGTGTATTTACTATTCATTCCATTCATAGAAGTATACAGATATTTAGTCAGATTTTTAATTAATTTCCAGAGCAACTTTACAATAATATGATGCTGTACTGACTTCTGAAAAGCCTGAAACGTTTCTATTATTTTTAAGTGTATTTATTAAATAGGGAACATTTGCATGGATCTAAACTGGAGCCTCCTTGCTCCAGAATTTTTCTGAGCATTTAAGAGCAGAAAACAAACTCTTTAGTCTCATTTTACCTTGTAATAAGTCACATTAGTGGGACTATCTGCATGCTAATATTTTGATAAATTGCCACCTTTTCATGGGGTGCTAAAATACAAGCACATCTGACAGTTCTCCTGCTGGCATTTTGTGTTTTACTGCTTCACTACCTGGCATGTGTAGGTGGGCAGTGCATAGCACATATTAGCAGCTGGGTGGTGAATGCAGAGATAAACCCCAGAGGCCTATTCCACTGGTTACTAGTAGTGCAGTTCATGCAACACTGACTGGAATTATTCAGCTTTCATCTGGATGCACACAAATGTCTTAGACAGTTTTATATTTGTATACTGTGTCCATTTTTGCACGATGTTCATTACTTCAGCATTTGAGAATTATAATTCTTCAGAGTTCCCTCATGAGTTACCCCTGGTATTGCAAATTCTTTTGGACAAATGATTTTTCAAAATAGATATAAGCTAACTGAGAAACTAGCAATAAAGAGTCTCAGAAATAATTGTGTTGAAATGCTTGAATTTTATGGAACTAAAGAGCTTAGGCAGCTTAAATTTCCTAAAAGATTGAGAGGTAATTCTCTAAGCCCCAAACTGGTGCATAAGCCAAGTTCTTGACTGGACAGAGAAGGAATGAAAAAGAGCTATAAAACCAAGACCAAAAAAGCCCACAAAACACTGCTTATTCTGCTCTAACCACTTTTGCGATTGGGATCCACATCCAGGAATTCTGTCAACATGAAGTTACATTTTTACTTTTCAGCTGGTCCAAAACTGTCATAAATGTTTCTTTACCTTGAAATATAGCACATTATTGTCTTCTGAGAGAGAGAGAATGAATCAGAAATGCATGGTTTCAACCACAGTATGACTAGCATGGCTTTAGACTAATGACTGAACACGGAAAGATCTGAACTGTATGGACAGTCAGCTTAGCTTCTCTGAACATGACCCAAAAAATATGTCTGTCCTTCCATATAAGACTACTGAACAGTTCAGTGACAAGCACACTTTTCAAAAAGTATGTCCTTCTCTTCCTGTACTTCATGTTGCCCTGTTGACAGCTAATCTAATAGAGTTTATGGATTTTTATTTCTTTTGTACCTATAATTATTTTGTACAAAGCTGCAGCCACCAGATTTATGTAAGTACTCCTGTCAGAGATGAGCACTTGAAAGTTTTGGCTGGTCTCTATAACTGAGCCCACAGTGAACTTAGCTTGGGTTAGTCTATTGGAGAGATCTGCTAGAGATACAAAGATGGAAGGGTCAGGATCTAGCTCCAGAGCAGATCTGCTCACTACACATAGAGACACTGAGGTAGTGAACTGCTGCTGGATGGGATTAGTGTTTGCAGTATATGGTTTCTATGGCAGTACATTAAGAATCTTGCCTCAGGTTTGGCAGTAGATTCTGAGAACAGATATTTTGCCAAGAATTCTCCATATGATGAAGCAATTGTATGTGTGTTTTTGGTTTGTTGTTGCTTTATCCCCTGGAAAATAAAATCTGATAATCTTTGCTTAGTAGCATGTATGTAAACTCTACACTTCAGTAAATTGCAAAGGTTGGTGGAATTTGCAGGCCTCAGCATAGGCTTTCCAGATGCTTCTGGAAAAGTTCTTATTGGTTTGCAGTCAAGTGTAAATCCTAAGGAAATCTTGCTACATTAATACCAGTGCTGGTAGGAGTGTTCTTCTTCAAAGCAATTTGAGTCTACATACAAGTCTGTTTTCCTCTAGAGACTTTTTCCTTAAAATTACACACCCTTGAACTTTGGTCTGTATTACAGAGGAAGATTTTATGTAGGTCGCATGTATAGTGAATTGTAAAAGAGGCAAATATAGCAGAAATACAAAATTTTAAGTCAACTCCTTGTTCAGCTTGCCTGTTATGTGTTCATGTGTGTTATGTGTTATGCTCTGTCACATCTAATTGTTAACATGATGCTTCTGGAAAAGAAAATCTATCCATATGAGTCAGTTAACTGCAGTTTAACTGCCTTTAGAGTTCTAAAAGACGACTTAGGGAAAACCTAATACTTATTGAGGGGAAGATGTAAACATTTTTGCAAGAGGTTATGTATAAAACCTTTTGGCAGTAAATGCACTGCAAAATAAAGGGGCTATGTAATCAATACAAAGGAGTCTGAAGTACAGATGTAAGCACCATGCAAATAATTTTTTATGTGAAAAGATATACACAAAATATTTTTACATATGAAAATACTTATTAGACAAAATAACTTGAAGCAGTGGAATAATTGGCACATATTCAAATTATGGTTAATTGAATTCTTCATCTGTGGCTCAGAGAGCCACATGGGGTACAGACTGTGCATAGAGGAAGTAATTTTCATTAACAGGATATAATTTAGAATGGGAAAACATATACACTCTGCCTGAAACACTGTTAATAATTAATATGGAATAAATACATAGACATGTACTGAGTTACCATATTTCTACCTGTCACTCTAGAGTTTCAGCAACTCATTTGCATCCTAAGTAAGTGTATTTATTCAGAGAGATGACACTGTAACACTACCTTTGAAAGTGGAAGACCTTTATGTCACAGCACCGAAAATGACTCATCCTTTTTACTGAGATGGCAAAGTGAGATTAGAATCATGATTTGATCTACTTACATCTTTCAAAGAAGTTTGCATGTCTCTGAACAAACACTGTACAGCTTCTCAAAACTGATAAACAGTTCTCAGACTGATCATTACTTTTGAGACTGTATTTCCCAGCTACAATAGAGACAAAAGGAATCTTTTAAGAAAACACACTACTTCAATTTCGTGTTCTAATTATATATAATATTTATTATTTTGTCTCTTATACATTTTGTTAATATTGAGATATATTTGCGTATATGAAGCAAGTTATTTGAAGAATAAAGTATAAAAAAACTATTTTGCCTGATGAATGAAGAAAGTATATGATATCAGTGAAGGGAAGGGATAAATGAAAGCCAAAATGTCTATTTGATTCAAGCTCTGTCAATGGCTCAATGCAGAAATTTTAAGCAATCTGCATTGCACTTAATCCTGAAAACGATTGATGTTATTTTGGATAAAAAAATCTGTAAATCAGGGTCTCTTGGGCTTCTCTTAGTACAAAACTTGATTTTGGTCTTAGCTCAGGAAAAGTGTAAACATGCTTAAGACCGGCTCCATTTGGGACAGAGCTCTAACATGCACGTAATCTATGGCTTCAATAAAAGTGAAAAGTGTCCCTTGGATAATACTTTGAATCATGTTGAAGATTCCTCAACATTTCAGCTGACCCCTGAAGCAGAAGGGTAGCGAGAGCCTTGAAAGTACGCGACCTTAGTAGACCTTAACCTGCCCTGTGACCTCTGCCTGAGAAGGAAGGTGATGGCAGACATCTGAGGGAGGGCAGTTACTAGATGAACCCTTGTAGGTCCTCCAGGCATTTTAGTTGGTTGTTTTTATAAATGTTTCTTTCTCTTTCTTCTAATTTGAGCAAACAATTGTTCTGCTGCATAGATTTTCATGACATGCTTTTATGCATGAGTATAGTAGTGCAAGGAAAAGATTCTTTATTTCTCTTGTCTGGATTTCAATTATCAGCCATATGGTAAAGAACCTCAAGAGATGAGAAGTGGGAACAGACTGTTAAACTATAAGAATGCTTTTTAATTCTACTCATTTTGTCATGTTTCTGCCATACTTATTTTATACACTACAGTCCTATTTAGTCTTTCTGAATTGTAAGGCTGTACTTAGCATTTCCTTTTCTTTATAAAAACAGGTGGTAACAATATTGGCAAACATGTCTGTCTTAGACCAATGTGCTTCAGAAATCGTTCAAGGAAATGGTATGTATTTTAACTGAATTATATTCTGCATGTGTTTGTGGAGAATATTTGAAAGGAAAGGAATAATTACTAGTTAAAGGAGAAAGGCTTCAGAACTAGTACTTCACTTTGCATCCCCTTTCTGCTGGATATTGCATATTGCTGCAGGGTGCAAAGTGAGTCCTTGGGATGGTTCCATGCAATGGAAATTAATTACCACTGCTTTAGAAAACTTTGCATGTAAGGCAGTAAACTGATTGTGTTTGTGTTAACTTATTTGTAGACAGAATGCAAGGTGTTGTTTCAACAACTGTTATTCTTGAAGTCACATTGTGCAAGGTGGCAATTCTTACACATTGAAATATATTGTGTCACTTATATTATTGTTATTATATATTATTGTTTCAAATATATTGAACCACTTACTGTTTTTGTTTGACTTTGCTCACGAGTATTCAGAGACACAAATTTTGAAGAACTGTTTATATTACTGTGCAGCGCTTGCCAGTTTTTTTCCCACACTTCTTTAAATATCACATTGTGAGAAATTCATGATACCAAAAAGAATCAAGTCCACCAGAAGAAAGCTTACAGGTTAGGTTAATAATTGTATGAATGAGAACACGGGAAGACCTAATTGCCTTACTAATACATCTCTCAGCATCTTCATGGCTAAGGTAAACTGTAAGCTTTTTTTTTTTTTCCTGTACTCTCTAGTGAGAGATATTCAATAACTGTTTCACATACGTTGCCTTTTCTGTCCTAGAAATATCCCTTCCACAATTTTTTAAAATTAATGTTTGATAGGAGTGGCTTGGTTTTGAATCCATTTGAATCTCAAACATGGATGGAGGTGGGAAAAAGTATGTAGAAATAGATCTTGAGATAGAACTGGTCTGCTCCAAAGTACGTAGCTCTCTCTGAAAATAATGCCTTCTATTTCCTTCCATGGATAGGAAACAGGTAAAAAGACCAGAATAACACTATTTGATAGTGCAAATTTTCAGCTCCAAAACATTGATTTTCAATGCTGTCACCACCATAGCTATTCCTTCTCACCAGCGATGAACAAGAGCCTGCATGCCATGCTCATAATAATCTGCACTAGAGGAGATGACCCACTGTTTCACAGCTGCTATGATGGAGCTGTCGCTAGGAAAATGTTGCTCATGCGGTCTATCTTTCATTGGCCTGTACAGATGGAAGTCAGAAGGAGCCAACCAAATCTGAACTAAACGGTGAATGTGGTAGGACGTTCCAGCCAAGATTGGCAATGTGCTCCAGGGTCTTCAAATTGGTATGCGGCCTGGCTTTATCATGGTGCAGGAGAAAGGTTGTCTTCTTCTCTATCCTGACTGTGGAAGTTCAGGGCTTTGGCTTAATCAGTGTCATTGAAGTCAGAGTTGATAGTTTGTCTGGCTTCCAGGAAATCTAGAAGGATCATCAAAATACAGTGCTGATGTCTGTGTCTTGAACCTCTTCTTTAAAGGGAATTCATGTGTTGCCATTGCATAGTCTGCTGTTTTGACTCTGGCTTGTAGGGATGATATCATGTCTCTTCACCATTAATGGTGTATTCCAGGAAACTTTCACCACTGGTCTCATATTAATATGTCCTGACAAACTTGCATATGGTGTTTTTTCTGTTTCTCTGCAAGCATTTGTGAGACTCACCTGGTGCAAACTTTGTGACAAACCAATATTGCCACCATCATTTCCATTGCATTGAAGCCAACACTCAACTTCATACACAGTTCCCTGGTTTAATTCACCAGTTTGCCCAGATGAACTAACTGAGATGCTTTTCATGATGTGACAGCTGTGCATGTCTGTATGCAGTGTGGGTTGTCTTTCATATTACTGTCACTACTGCTGAAAAGCACCATCCACAGCCTCACTGTGCTAATATTCACTGTTTGTTCTCCATAAACATTCAGCAAGAACCAGTGAATGTCAGTGTGTGCAATTTTTTTCTGCATGGAGGAATCCAATTCCACACCTTTGTTTCATCAGGACTTTTGTGTCAGACGCCATTTTGTCAGACTGCCTTTCTGCTGCCATCAGTCACAAAGCAACAAAATGATGGGAAGGTTCAGCCTCTACTGCCACACCACCAATATTTTCCTGTGATGTTGTGAGCCAACATAATAAAATAGGAGGCACTGCTTTCAGCTGCCCTTGCAATACTGGATTTAGCTGTTTCTTGTATTTCAGTGCAAAATTTGAGTTCTGAGCACATAAATATGACTGACAAGGTTCAGACACAACTAATTTGCTTGTTGGGATCCATGTTTACAGAGAAGTAACATGCATGGAAAATTTTGCACGCCTTGGAGATAAGGAGATTGATTATTTAATTTGGGTATCTGTTTCCTTGAGCACACTAGAAACTGTTTTGTTCTTGGGAAAGGTGTTTGATCATGTTTCCACAAGTGTATAAAGATCATAAAAAGACAGTCAAGCATGAAGTGCTTTGTAGCACAGGGACATTGCTTTGAAAGAACTCCAGCAAGTTGTTGCATACTCATTATAAACTGTACTAGATCTGTGTGTGTTCACACCACTGGTGAACTGTGACTAGAAGTAATAAAAAATAAACACACAATACCAAATAGCCCCTTCTCTTTCCTAAAAGAATACAGAAGTGTTTTCTCTAATCCTCCCTCAGTGAAACATGTAATTAATGAAAGTTTGTATGTGATAAAGTTTGTGTATACACCCCTTAATGGAAATTCATACAGAAGCATTTGCCCCCTGGCTTTTCAGAAGTTGGCACTCGGCTTGTGTATAAAAGCTTATTGTATTTGCCTAATACTATGATAATTAGATGCTGGTCGAAAGCCAGACTTACACATGCACTACTGAGAAGGACTTTAAGATCTTATAGAGTCTGGATGGATTTTCTTCCCAACTTTGACTTATTTTGTATGTCAATTGATCATTATCTCGTTGTGTGATTCTGGTGCTAATTCTCCTAATTATTTATGCAAATATTCTAATGGTTAAAATCCTCTGATGCTACCTAAAGTAATCTGAATTTCCTAATGGCATATGGAGTCTAATAGCACATAATTGTCCTTACAGTTAAAATAACTTAGAAAATATAAATCAGCACAGTCTCTGGTTTTCTCCTGCTACAATGTGAGTATCTATTCCTACAGGTAAAAAAAAAAAGTTGATAAAACCATTTTACATTGTTTCTTCTGAAATGAATAGTCATCACATGGACATAGAACTTGATAATTTCCCTCATTAAGGGGATGCAGATTACTGTAAGCAGTTTGAGATGGAAGATTTTAAAGGCTTTCTTGAAATTACGTAAACTTGGAAAAAAACAACCACCACCACTTTTACTTTCTTTTAGTCAAAAGGAAAACCTGAAATATCTTCCTAATGTTTTTGAGGTTAGTGACAACCTTCAGGCTAGTTTAAATGTAATTAAGGAATATTCATCTACTTTTCACAATTTTATTTGAGTCAGTATGTATTTGAGCTGATTCCAAGCAGATTGAATGGAAAAGAAAAGAGTTAGTGCATTTTCTAGTTAAAAAATGTCTGCAGTTTCCTGGTGAAAACAAACATTCACTGATCAGATGGGCCAAAATACAGATGGCAAAATTGCAGCTCACAGTTATGTATTCTTCCTGCCCTAATCCAGTAGTGATTATATTTACCTAACTTTCTATTCCCCGTTACTATTATAAGGTGATATTTCTTGTTGGAGAGAAGTTAACAATGGCTCTTACATCCTTGTAGGTGTTCAGCTTTTAATGGAAATGCTCTTTGAGAGGTCATCTTCAGGAAATTCAGCAGAAGTTGCTGCTTGTGAGCGAGTTCAACAGAAATCTGCAGTTACACTGGCACGACTCAGCCGGGATCCTGAAGTGGCAGATGCAGCTGTAAAACTCAGCTGTAAGGATGTGTCACGGGGTTAATGGAAAACTGAAAAAGAGGGAGAAACTGTCAGCCAAGGAGAAGCTCTTTGCATTTTTTTAGCCTTACCTGGTACAGTTTGTGGGATAGGTTTCCCTATAAAATCTCTTCAGAAGGTGAGGAGGTTGTACTAAATGAACCTTTGGCTCAATTCCCAGAGGAACCTGAGGTACAGCTTCCTCTCAGTGCATTGCTGTGACAGACTGTGACAACCAACTCAAGACTACCTCCCATGCTCCTTTATTTAAAGCCTAGTGCAGGATCCAACAGTGGGCATAAAACTCAGATTCCTGCAAGCTCAGATGTGATGAATCTGATGGGAAGCCACATATTCTTTTGGATGTAGGTTTTTAAAGACATGTGGGAGAATTGATGGGGAAGAAAGAGAATCATGATTTTCATTCTGAAAGAGCAACAAAGGGTAAAAACAATGCGTTTCTTGTTTCTGATTTATGACAATCAATCATGAACTGCTAACTCCATGGAGAGTCCCCTAAGTATTTGCATAGCATTTTGCATTAGTAAACTTATCTGATAAGAGAGATAAATATTAAAGTTTATAAGGGAGAAAGACCTTTTATCCTTATTATCTCAGAAGTAATTTGTGTTTCTAAAATATTTCTCCCAATACTCTTCTGTGCTTTCAGGTATTCCTCGCCTAATTAAACTTTGCAGATCACCAACTGAAAGAAATAACAGTGATTCTGTTTTAGTAGCATGTCTGGTAGGTACCTTTTTACCATCTTCTTGTGCTTATTCTGAAATATGGATAAAATGCAGCCCTTTCAATTTCAAAATGCATAAGCATTGCAAAAACATTCTAAATTCTTGCCAGGAATTTAAGTATAATACTTTACAGTGTCAATAATTTTTCTTCTGATTGAAGATTTAGACACGTATACGTGACTTCATATTACTGAGAAATTTCACTAGAACACTTTGTAATTTAAAGTTTCAATCACTCTTAAACTTCATTCTCTGATGATGCTGTCTTTGCTGAAGTAAGTCCTGTGATCACAGAGACAGTAGCCCTTTATCTAGGTGCATGAGCACACGTGTATGTGTGTGTGAAAATATTTAAGTAAAATAGCCAGAGTCTCTATGATCCATTTTTTTCTTCTTAAGACTCTCACACAATACAGAGCTCAGCCAAGGAGTGACCAGCAGAAGGTTAACACTGCTTAAGAGAAAAATCCTTGCTGCTTGCTGGCCCCACTTGGTTATTGTTGCTTTGGTTAACACACCTAGTTTGCACATGAAAAGTTTTGTTCATTTAAGCAGAACTTATTCAGGATGAAAAAGGTTTGAATTTGGGCACAAGAAATTCTGTGGTTATTCCACATATGAGCTGAGAAGAGTGGTTAATCTTGCATGGCTGGAGCAGAGGCCATAGAATGACAGCAGCAAACTAGACGATGACTTTCCTGCTGCTCTGTCTCACTGAAGTTCACAGAATCACAGAATTGCAGGTGTTGGAGGGGACCTCAAGATGTTCAAGTCCAATCCCTTCTAAAGCAGGTATCTTACATTCACAAAACTTGTGCTGCACATTCCCTGAATTCATACCTATTTCTTGAGTTGTTACCTGCTTGTCTCAGCACTTCTGCTTCTCTTAGTGTTTTAGCAACTGCTGGATGACACTTTCTGTAAACAGGGCAAAATATTGTGCTTGAGACAGATACACTGCCTCAGGTTCGTAAATATTGGCACTAAAATCTAAGGGCTTTCACTGTTTGGTATTTTTAGCTTGGTTCTTTACCTCCTGTGCATTTTGAAGCAGGTGATTAACTCTTGTGGTAATGTAGCACTGATAAACACTGTGAGGATAGCTAATCACAACTGTCAGACTTTAGTAGCTTAAAGACAATTTTTGTTCTTGAAGAAAACCAGCCTCTGTTCAGTTGTTTCTATAGTGTTAGATTACTAAAAGGTATGAAATTATATATTCTTATCTGCTGAGAAATATTAATCTCTTAGAAAAGGAGAGGTTATAGATAATAGTATGATCAAAGGAATTTGTTATATAGTCTCATAATACGAAAAATTAGCGGTTTTGTTTGTTTCCAAGTGGTTTGACATGTCTGGTTTCTTTCTATTACGCTTTTATCTAAAAGATCTTTATTCCAGACTTTGCTTACAACTATGGTGGGAGAAGCTTACAATCAAAATGTTCTGGCTGTCATTCTTTCCTCCAGTATCCCACTATCCCTGCTTCTTGTGTCCAGGAATAATCTGCCCACAAAGAATTGTCATTTAGTGGCTGATTCTGAGGGGGAATAGTGGAGGACAGCAGTGAAAGATTAGCTTGATAAAAGAGTCCATGTAACTGAGTTGATCTGTTTTGAGCCTTGGCTGCTACTTGGAGATTGTTATAATGGATTCCTGCAATGAAGACTTTCTCAAAGCTTAAATGCATTAATGTTTTTTGTTTTGTTTTGTTTTGTTTTTTAGGCAGCGTTAAGAAGACTAGCAGTTATGAGTCCTGATCGACTTGAAGATTCAGATTTTCAGCAGTTAGTAAAGCCTAGGCTTGTGGATTCCTTCCTGCTATGCACAAATATGGAAGAGAGCTTTGTATAAATGTGAGCCAAAAGCAAGATATTCTTTGAAAAACAATCAAGATAATACTTACATAATGAGATAGTACATACTCAGTTTCACTTAGATGTAGTCCTATTGTTATTTATGACTTATTTATTTTAAGACCATGACCATGTGGCTTGTGGACAAAAGAAATACAATAAAAAAACTTATTTCTATGGTTTGTAAAGGTAAATTAAAAAAAAAAAAAAAAGCAAAACAATACAAAAACTTCCTATACTAAGGCATATTAGGAAATTTTATCATTGCAGCCTGACAATTATTGTCATATTTAGTAGAACTGAAAGAAGGTATAGAAGCCAAGAATTTGGTGCTCTTATTTTAAATGCTTGTAATGATGTCTTATTGCTGATATTTTTCTGTAGTTGGAACATTTTTCAGTTTCTTTAGCAAATGCATTAATCTGTTGCATTTGTTGCATCAAAAGAGAAATGATCCTTAAGGCTGTAAATGCATTCTTTAAAACGAACGGGATGTCGCCGTCTAAGTCCAGTTCCTTATTGTTCTATCTTTTAATAGAGTTCTGAAGATATGTAAATGAGTTTTTTTCAGAAAATTTTCGAATATTGGCTTGGCATTATGTTAAAGGGCATTTCTAAGCTGTATAAAGATGTGCTTCCTTAGAAGATATGTAAATACAGACAACTTTTATTTGCATGTAAAGAAACTAAAAGACTTATAGAAAAGTCTTCCTGAGATCAAACCTATCATAAGTGTGAGATTTAGGATCACTACACTTCAATAATCTTCCCTCCTTTCCAAGCCTTCCAAGAAGTGAAAGTGAGTACATACAGACATGTTTTTAATACTCAGTTTACTACTTCTACAAAAAATTTTGCTTGCATACGCTAAATAATTAGAACACGTAATTGCAACTTGAATTTCCATTTTCATTTTTTTAAGCTAGTCTTGTATTTATAAAGCTGTGAAACAGGACTTCCAAGAATTCTTGGAGTTGATACAAGGTGATTTTATGAGTAGAATACAAGAAAAAGAATAGAGTTGATTTTAAAAATAGATTCATCTTTTTCTTTTCATCAAGAAGCCATATGCATTTACAATTAGTCTACCAGCAATATCCTGAGTGTTTTCTACCCCAACTTTGCACAAAATGTTCTGTAAGTTATGAAAGTATATGTAATTTTTTCTTGATGACTTGCATCCATTGCTCTGGATCATTTTGTGATTGAAAACTTTATGGTGCTAGGACATATGCCAAATAAATAAGTACACTTCTTTACTGTACTTACTTCATAGATATCTTAAGCAACTTAATTCATTAAAGCTTATTTAGTATTATGTGGTTTTTAGATGACAGGCACCAGGAAATTGCTAAGCCATGTTTGCCTTCCACATTTTCTTTGTCTGAGGAATCTTCCTTGCTTCAAGCAGTGACAAATGGTAACCACCTTTTCTTATATTCTAGAATATATGTTCTAAGAAGTCTTTGCCTTAATAGTTCTTCAAGGGAAGTTTTAAAAACATTAAAAGACACACAAGAATGTCTTAAGCAACTGTTCAAAAATAAACAGTGAATCAGATGTTTCACAGATGTGATTTCCTAGTAAGAGAAGGGATGAATTCTACTTTGTGTGCATACTTTGAGGCAACTCCTTAAGTTTATGACATTGAGACATATTGTACTGCACAGCTTTCAAATTATTACTCGAGTGACTGACAACATTTTCTTCACATAGCAGAAATGTGTGTATGCTTTGAACAGTAGAATCAATATTCTTCATGTAAAACAATGAACTCAAAACTCATAGTAGGACCTTATGTTCATTTCTTATGTTGATAATCTCTAACAGAACACAATCTGTCAAAACCTGTCGCTTAACGCTGTGCTGAACATCATTCTGTTAACTGCAGCTAACATCAGAAACTATTCATTTGTACACAGGGCAGTTTGTCCCATAATAGATGATGTTAAAATCTCATGAAAAAGAAAACAAATAATTGTGGGGCATATACATTCAGAAAAGGGCGGAGATGTTCTCATGATCGTGGCAATGGAGTAGTATAGTAAAACTGGGAGCTCCAAATCCAATTTACACTGATATTACTCAGGAAAGTAGCAGTGGACTATAGATGGTTAGTGCAAATGTAACAGTCTCTCTTGTGGAAAGTATGAGCAGACTGTTGGACAGTTGTTGCTCATAGATCAGAATCATAAAACCAGGGAAATTTCAGTGCTTCCAAGGCAAAAGGCCTAATTCCTGGGCTTTCAGAAGTGCAGCTCAACTGTAAGATAGTAGCATGCTAGTGTGTGTATATATATATAGACGCAGCTTCCTGTGTATGTATACATTTATCCCTTAATCTCCTTTTTTTTATAGAGGTCGTTATAAAAGTATTTTATATATGTGTTTATATACATAAAAATAATTTGAGAGCACAATCAAATGTAGCAAAAATATATATATATATATATAATTTGGCTGCAATTGGAATTCAGAACAGTGCTTTTCAGTATTTTTTTTCTTTCAGTAATGTCAGTCTTTGAAAACAGAAAAACAAAATGAATATGTTAGGCATGGGTACGGCATCAGTTCTCATGCCAATCCATCCTGCAGTCTGAGGCAAGGATGTAAAAGCTCTGTAACCACCTGTTTATTGCTCTTGTGAGACCTGACTTTTGCAGATGATAATAGTGAATATAATAGCACTGTTCTTGATTGTGCCTTACCTAGGCAGGAAGTGCTCATTCAATTGAAAGTTCAATTAGAAATTAATGAAAAGAAATAATCTCAGATAGTTTATTGCAATCTGTTCTGTAAAACTCTTTACAGGATATATTTCTGCAATCAAAAAGACGTTATATTTTCAGTATAGTGTCAAGTAATTTAGTATCCACACATGTAAAGTAAATTAATGTAGCTATTAAGAATATGCCACTATGACCCATAACATTTTCAAGCCATTTCAAACTCGTCTCAAACAAATATTCAGTGAGCAGGCCAGTAGGAACAAAGAAGTTGACTTTGCTCTCAGGTAAACAATGTGAATCCAAATCAATTGACTTTACTACAAATACTCTCTGTCTGTAAGTATGTAGCCATAATTCTGAGCTAATTCTCTCTGTTCATTTGTATTCATATTATAAATGTGGCTGTTTACAGGAAGAAAATACACTTGAATGAATCTCATATTTGTAGTTGCAAAATATGTAATGAAAGAACCAGTTCAGAACCTCTGTCATTTAAGTGTCATTGAAACCATTTTTGCTAGGTCTGAACTTTTCATCTAAAGTTGTGCACTTTATTTTTATATATGCTAGAGTTTATGGTAAAATAGTCATCCTGCTTCCTTTCTTCTTCCTTCATTAAAAATTTAAAAGTCATTAAAAATTTGAAGTATGAAATATCCATTTCTTTAGCTGAGTTTTGGATCCCCAGTGTTTGCTTTGACTGTTATTTTCAGTTTTTTAATTTTTAAAATGAATATTTTAAGGCAGAATAAAAATGCTTACTGTCAATGTAGTATGAAACAAAATATTTCATGTCAAGAATTTCACTCAAGTACCCTGTCTGGTGTATGAAAATTAGGGCTCTGTATATTTAGTTAGCAGAGTAAGGTAGAAGGCATCAGTAACACCTGTATATATCCATATGTTTGGACTCATTACTCTATAGAGAATGCATGTAAGTTAGATATTAGCTTAGTTATTCTGGAAACTGAATGTTATAATTGCTGGAATTGTTTTAATTTCATCTAAATTGTTCTGAAAATTTTAGTTTTTGTATGTTTCTAGAAATGTTGGACAAGTATGCAGTGGACTGCAGAATTCTTAGTAAATGATTTGTGTTCCAATGGCTTTGGACAGTGTGTTCAATTTCTGGCTTTAGTTTGAACTGTTTAAAGATATATGCAGCCCAGACATTTTATTTGCAGAACATTTTTTTCTCGGATTTTTTTTTTTTGTGTGTGTGTTTAATACATGATTCATTTATGTGGTACGTTACTTGTCTGACATTTCTGTTTAAAATAGTATTTGTATCTACAAGAGGCAAGATGACATCTTGGTAAATTTGTTGACTTACCTATTTTCTAGGGTTGCCTATTAGTATTTGAAACAGGATTTGGTCTGCAGAGGGTCACATTGCCTAATGAGAAGACTGATTATCTATCTTGAACGACTTGTTCTAAATATCTAATCTTCAATATCATGCTTCTAAGCAATAGACGGCCAAAATCACAGAATTGCAGGGGTTGGAAAGGACCTCAAGGGATTGAGTCCACCCCACGCTAAAGCAGGTACCCTCCAATAGGTCAGAGAGGAATGTGTCCAGATGGATCTTGAATATCTCCATAGAATGAAATTCCACAACCTCTCTGTGCAACCAGTTCCAGTGCTCTGTCACCCTTATAATAAGTAAGTTCTACATGTTAGTACAGAACATCCTATGTTCAACTTTTAGGTTGTTTCTCCTTGTCCTGTTGCTACTCAGCACTGAGAAGAGCCTGGCCTCATCCATTTGCCTCCCATCTCCCTTTAGACATTTGTAAACATTTATCTGATCCCCTCTCAGTCATCTTTACCCCAGACTGAACTGCCCCAGGTCTCTCAGCCTTTTCTTATATGGGAGATGCTCCAGGCCCCTAACCATCTTTGCAGCCCTCTGCCCGACTCCTTCTAGGCGATCCTTGTCTTTTTGAACTAGTGAGCCCAGAACTGGACTCACTAGTCTAAATGTGGCCTCACCAGGGCTGAGTAGAGGGGGAGATAACCTTCCTTAACCTGTGGGCCACACTCTTTTTAATTGCCTTTCTTGGCCACGAGGGCACGCTGCTGGCTTATGGCCAACCTGTTGTGCACCAGGACCCCCAGGTCCTTCTCTGCAGCACTCCTCTCCAGTAGGTAAAATAACATTAGCTTCTTTAATCTTAGAAATCTATTCTGATTTTTCCGTTCAATTTTATGTTAAATTTAATATACTGAAAGTTACCCTCTACTCACTAAATGACTCACTACTATTCTTATTTTTAAAGGTAGGTAGGGAAATGGCATTGAGCAGTGAAAGATAGATCTAGAGTGAACTTTTTCATCTGAGTTGGAAGTGCTTATCTGGTGGTGAGGTGATTGAATAGTTTTAGAGAAATTATGTATAATAGTCTCCTTTGAAGTACTAGTACATTTACAAGAAGACTTTGTAACTAACAGTTTGTGAATTGATCAGTCTCATGCCGAATCATCACTGAATTATAGTAATAAGGGAAAACTGGTAGCATAAGTACAAACAGAGCACTGTCTAGTCGAAGATTTTTTTTTTTTCCAACATCCAATGAGTAACTTTTCATTTTAATAATTAAAGTGAGCTAAAAGCCAAAGGGAACCAATAGGAAAGCAGGGAAAAATGAAATGTGAATTAGTTTACAGCGCCAATTTTTGTTAGAGATAAATCAAAATGAATCAGAAAAGCTTAAATGCCATGAAGATATCTAATGCAGTATCTTTTCTATTGCTGTTGTTATCATTCAGTTCACAAATGCCTAACTGAAATGCATACTGCTTGTACCATTTTCTTCAAGCTTTCTGGATATTACTGCTCTTTCAATTAGCTTGTCTCCACCTTTGAATTTTACCTTTTTTCCAATTCTCTTCCCAATCCATCTGGGGGAAAAACAGTCCGATGTCAGCTGCCTTCTGGGTTAAATTAAAGCAGACATTTTTCTCTTTAAGAATGAATGCCCAAGACAGAGAGTATACATAATGCCATTGAACTGCTTTTAATAGCGGCTATGGAAAAATCCTGATAATGTGTTTGGAGCAGATGTCTAAACATCTTGCATATAGGTATTAATTTAGGTCATGAGAGATGAATTCCAGATACAGATGGGAGGCAAAAGACACTTTTTCAGCAGGGATTTCACATTCTGTTTATGCACCAAATACAATTTCTATCAAAACAGAAAAATTTGCAGCATTATACTCTCCCTTTGAAATTAGACATTATTTTCTTGTTTGTTATGCACCAAGTGATTCCTATTTGCCAGTGTTGTAAAACAAAGGACTACCTGGACGAACTCATCACACTCATGTTATTATAGCTGATTAGATATTACTTATCACACCCTACCCAGCGTTGCCTTGAATGCCTCCAGGGATGGAATATCCACCACTTCTCTGGGCAGCCTGCACCAGGGCCTTGCCACTCTCTGGGTAAAGAGTTTCTGTCTAACATCTAACCTAAATCTCCCCTTTTCTTGTTTAAAGGCATTCCTCCATGTATTGCCACTATTACACCATGTAAAAGTCAGTCTATTTTTAAGCTCCCCTCAAGTGCTGGAAGGCTGTAGTGAGATCTCCCTGCAGCCTTCTACAAGCTAAGCAAGCCCAGCTCTCAACCTTACTTCATAGGAGATGTGCTCCTGCCCTCTAATTGTCTTTGTGGCACTCTTCTGGACCCCCTTCTACAGCTCCACATCTTCTTTATGCTGGGTGCTCCAGGCCTGGAAACAGTACTCCAGATGGGGACACACGAAGGAAGAATGGACGGGAACAATCACCTCCCTCTCCCTGCTGGCCACCCCTCCATTTGTGCTGCTCAGGATACAGTTGGCCTTCTGAGCTGCAAGAGGACACTGCTGGCTCATGTTTTGCTTTTTGTCCACCAGGACCACAAATCAAGGAGTTCTTCTCCCCATCGGTATTCATACCTGAGATTGTGTTGATCTGAGTGCAACAGCTTGCACTTGACTTTGTCAAACCTCATTAGGTAATGCGGTCCCACTTCTCAAGTCTGTCTAATTCCCTTTGGATGGTGTTCCTTCCTTCTATTGTGTCTGTTGCACCACTCAGTTTGGTGTCATTAGCAAACTTGCTGAGGGTGTGCTCAATCCCACTGATATGTCATTGATAAAGATACTGAAGAGCGCCAGTCCCTAGACAGACCCCTGGGGGACACCACACATGACCAGCCTCCACCTAATCGTAGAACCACTGATCACAACCCTTTGGCTATGATCATCCAAACAATTATTTATCCGCTAATTGGTCCAACTTTCAAATCCATCTCTCCAATTTAGAAATAAGGATGTGGTATGGGACCATCTCAAAGGCCTTGCACAAATCTGGATAGGCGACATCAGTTGCCTTTTCTTTTGTCCACCAATGCTCTCACTATCACAGAAGGCCACGAGTCTCCAACGTAAGTTATCCTGGGCAATATGTCAAATACCAGAGTTAATAAAAATCTGCACACATCAGGAAAGCTATTGTTTAGCAGGATAAAAAAAAAAATAAAAGCAAACAAACAAAAAAACCCTCCTCCTATCCAGTATCCCTTATTTCCCAAAAGGTAATAAATTGAGCTGTGAGTAGAACAAAATCATCTT